GAGAGGCTCCATCCCGCCAAAGCCGCCCAGCACCAGCAGCGTGACAAAGGGACCTGTCAGCAGACCACCCGCCTGATCGCGATCGCAAGGACCTGGCGGGGGCCGCAACCACCCCAACTGAACTCGGATTGCAACAACTGACGACCTACACCACACAGAAACAACCAGCTCCAGGGTGAGTACTTAACAGGGGACAGTGCATCCCTCAAGGGAGACCAGAGCTGGAGGGAATCCCCAGACCCTGACCTAGACTCCCTACCCCAACACCCGGACCACAGGACCCACTAAAACTGGGAACTGTTCGAGAGCTCCACCAGCCGGTGGAGCACACTCTGCAGGCCAGGCCAGAGCAAGAGTGCCCCTGGAAGGGAGCTTAAATGCCCAAGCCAGGAACAGTGCCCCTGGGTCAAGACTACCAACAGTAGAAGAAATTTGAACTGTGTCCCCCAGGCTGCATAACTTAGGTGGTATACACAACAGCACTGGGGCCGGAACCAGGCCAGGGGATCCGGCGCCTGAACAACACAACCAACTCCTCCCAACTGAAGTAAAAAGCTGAGCATACGCCTCAACAGAGGGGAGAAAACCAGGAAACAACACTCCCCGGGAAGCACGCCAATGGTCCATCAGTTTTGTTTATTTTTTCAAAGAACCAGCTTTTTGTTTGGTTAATTTTGGCTATGGTTCTCTGATTCCCTAATTCATTGATCTCTGCTCTTAGTTTGGTTATCTGGCTGTGTCTAGTAACTTTAGGTTCCATTTTTTCATGTTTTTCTAGCAGTTTTAATTGCAACATGAGATTATTTACTTGGTCTGTCTCTATTTTCTTGATGTGGGCACTGAGGGCAATTAATTTGCCCCTCAGGACTGCTTTTGCTGTGTCCTACAAGTTTCTTTGTGAGCTGTTTTTTTTCATTGAGTTGTAGGAAATGCTTTATTTCTTCTCTGATCTCTTCTGTTACCCAGGCATTGTTAAGGAGTGTGCTGTTCAATTTCCATGTATTAGAGAAATTTCTGTGGTATGCTTTGTTATTGAGAACTGGCTTGATTCCACTGTGGTCAGATAGGATACAGGGGATTATGTCGATCATCTTGTATTTGCTTAAGTTCCTTGCTTCAACTATGATATGGTCTATTTTGGAGAAGTTCCACGAGCTGTTGAGAAGAATGTGTACTGTGTTGTTTTAGGGTGAAATACTCGGTAGATGTCATTTAATTCCACTTGAAGCATGGGCTCACTTAATTCGGTAGCTTCTTTGCCAATCCTCTGGTTGGTAGACCTATCCTTTGGTGAAAGTGGGGTGTTAAAGTCTCCTAGTATTATTGTATTGGGATCTATTTTATTCTGTAAGTTTGAGAGTATTTGTGTAACATATCTGGGTGCACCAATGTTAGGGGAATATAAGTTGATGAGGGTAATATCCTCCTCTTGGATTGTTCCCTGTATTAATATGTAGTGTCCGTCCTTGTCTTTTTGTATTGATTTTAATGAAAGTTTTATTTTTACAGATATCAGGATAGCTACACCTGCTTTCTTACTGGGGGCATTTGATGGGTAGATCCTTTTCCAACCCTTTACTCTGAGTTTGTTTGAATGTTTGGCTGAGAGGTGGGTCTCCTGAAGGCAACAGATGGATGGGTCATGTTTTCTGATCCAATCTGCAGTTCTTTTTCTTTTGATTGGCGAATTAAGCCTGTTAATATTAAGAGATAGTATAGAGAGATGCATTGTGGTCCCTGTCATTCCCTGTTTTCCTCAGTTTTTCTTCTTTCCTCCTTTCTGTGCTTGCTCAGTTAGACTTCTCTTAATGCCTGTCTGGGTGCAGGTCCCAGTTCCTGGTTGCTTTCTTCAGGTTGTGTTCCCCCTCTTAGTATTCTTTGTAATGCTGGCTTAATGTTTATGTATTCATTTAGGTTTTCTTTGCTATTAAAAATTTTCAGCTCTCCATCGAATGTGATTGCTAGCTTTGCTGGGTATATCAGTCTGGGTTAACAGTTATTGGCTCTCAGGGCTCGTTTGGTACTTTCCCAGGCCTTTTTTGCATTCAGTGTTTGTGTGGAGAGATCTGCAGTGATTCTAATTTTTTTCCCATTGTAGTATAGCTCCTTCTTCATTTTTGCTGCATGTGAGATTGTTTCCTTATTATTCAGATCTATCATTTTTACTATAATGTGTCTAGAAGTGTTTCTTCTGGGATCTTGCTTGTTAGGTGTTCTATATGCTTCTGTTATGTAGGTAAGATGTTCTTTTTTGAGATGGGGAAAATTTTCACCGATTATCTTGTTGAAGAGGTGTTGCATTCCCTTGCTTTGATATTCCTCACCTTCGTCCACTCCAATTATACGAAGGTTAAATTTCTTGGCACTATCTGCTCATTTTGCTTTTAAACAAGAAAACAACAGACCTTATTATTACTATTAAAAAATATCACCCCCCAAAATATTCCCTTTCTTTAGACAGCTCACCCAAGGTTAAACAAAAAGCCGCAACATTTTTTTTTTTTTGGGTCCGGTCGTGGGGCCTGAACTCTGGGCCTCAGCTCTTCAGGTCCAGGCTAGTGTTCTACCACTTGAGCCACAGCGCCACTTCCGGCTTTTTTCTTTTTGCTTATGTGGTGCTGAGGAATCGAACCCAGGGCCTCATGCATGCA